TTTTCAAGAGCGACCTGCTTATGGAAACAAGTCGAAAGATTGAGTGTCCGCGGATGATTCGGAAGAAACCAGTAGGCGGATATCCTGTGGAGTACATCATTACTAAGCGACATCAGTGAGCTATAGAGCAGAATATTTTGTGCACGAGCCACGAATCCCTCACCCGGCTCCTCGGCACGAACCGAGTCCTCTCTTCGTCATTTGAGAGCTTCCGTAATGAATGGGGAAAACGAAGTCCCAGCGGGAATCCTATTCACGAGGCCTTCGCTATGCTCAAAAGTGGAATTGCGTGCTCTGTGTTCTCTCGGTGCTTCGGTGACATGCTCCCAGAGCGTTTCCCCGCCATTTACCTCGCGGAGGACGCGGAGCTTGTCCCCATGGTCTTGGTTCGCGGAAAGGTAGGAGGAGCTCCAGAAGTATGTATGGTTCGCTTGGGTTTGTGGAAGCTGATGAAGAGAATTAGCAACAGTCAAATGGTTCACTCGGGGGGAGGGGGAAACGGGAATGGCGAATGCTACAGAGAAGACTCAATACACTTATTCCGGAGCCGGAAGCGGCGACACGTCTTCCGTTGATCTGGATAGAAGTTTGGGGTATGGGGCCGCACCGACCGAGCCCAAGCACCGCTATTTGTGCATATTCTGGCTCCGGGCCATGTCGGCCGGCGCCGCGCCGGCATCTCCGACGCGGGCAGTGGACGGGCTGGCATTCGTAGTATGTATCCGAGCCACAAACCACAGCCCTCGGTCTAGCTCGATTCGGAGATTGAAGTCGGTCTTATTGTCTGCCTTTATTAGGGCAATGCCCCGAGCCTAGTGCCGCGGATGCTCGACTCGGGATTGGGGCCCAGAAATTTCTCGATCGCAGAGCTCGTTCCGATTGAAGCGTGGCCAGTACGTGGAGTCAAGGAACAGCTATCGAGCTCCACCACGGGGAATCGCGCAGGACGCTCCCGAAGCGGCATGGCTCGGAGACTGGTAGATAAGATTACAGAGGAGACATTCCATTTTTTTCGGATCCGTAGTTTTCCCTCCGATCCTCCAAGCTCAATCTAGGGTTCATGCTGCCGCTCGTCAAATATTGATCACCCGCAAGAGAATGAGCAGCGCACGAACGGAGTTCGTTCTTCCTACGCTCTCAGGCGTTCTATTCCTGCTCCAGATCCTCGGGTTCCCTCCTTCAGGGGAAGTCTCCGATAGTAGTAAACGCTCTATCGGGTCTTCGTGGAGGATCTCGACGTACCAACCATGCGCCGACTGCGCGGGGAGCTCCAGATCAGTGAAAGAGGAATGCTCTCAGATGGAACCTGCGAAATAGAGCCGATCATGAGGATACGTCGATGAAAAAGTTGGGAAGAAAGCGCTCTGATATTCCAACTCACTTGTTCGACAGTCGGAGCAACGAAACGAACATATCTGCTTCTCGTGGGGTAGGGGAGGAAACGTTTTGGACGCTTCTTCTGTCTTTTCGTAGACGCATTTCAAGCTCATGCAGAATTTCGGAAGAGCCCGAGGCGACGAGGGAGAACTTGTAGGATCCTCTTGGGAGAACGGGAACAAAACGAAGAAAACTTGTGACAAATGCCGTGGCATCAACAGCACTCGATCTATCCCTATCATTTTTATTTCTCGATGGTCTCGTTCGTCACACTATAATAAACTTCGACTAATGGAATGCCATCGATTTTCAAGCCTTTCATTAGTCCACCTCCCATTCGGGGATGAACATCATTTTGCTCAGTGAACGACCATCGCTGCAGATCCTCTCGCGCTCGCAAGAGCGGAAAACTTTGCGATAGAGCTCAGAAGTCAAACATCATGACGACTCGTGACCCTGTTTCTCCGGGGTGTCCGAGCTCGGGTGATCTGATCACACAATGTCTGGAAACTCTCCGGCGGCTCCGTATTGAGCGTGGATCGGAGCCGGAATTGTTTGATTTCGTACACGCTCGGATAGATTTGAATACGATTTCTCGCCGTTTTATGCTAATGAGACCATAACGAGACAATAGGGGTCGTCCATTGAAGTCTTCCTGTTTAATATGGCTGAAGTGTTTTTCAGAAGGGTCTTGACAATGTGATGCAAATCATTTTCGAATCAGGCTTCTTCTCCCTGGCTTCGGACAGCTGTTTCGGTTGCTCCGCTGCTTCATGCTTCGCTCTTCTCTGACCGAACGGATTCAATGTTCGAATTCGGAGGGATCGCCCTCCGGAAGTTCGCAGTAGTCGGCAGAAGTGGTTCGAATTTCATCGAACCCGTTGGTAGAGTCCTTGGTAGGGAACGCGTTTGTCACTGATGGTGCAAACGTTCGTTTCACTTCGTGAAATGCCGCAACGACGCCGCTCGCGCGGGGGGCGGTGTGGGTTCGATCCTTGCTGCCGGAAAAATATTCCTTACGGAAACGCAGGTACTCGGCCTTGATCCTCCTGGGTACATTTGCTCTATGGATCCGTCCTCGGAAGCAATGTGAATAACAGTCCCCGGGACGTTAAACCTTGGCTTAGTGGATCAGCCCGAAAAAGTTTTTGGTAGGGAACGCAGCTGGGACTCGACAAGGGTCGACCCCCACATGAGGAGTCATTTGTGGTCGGTAAGGGATTCCGCCGATGGAGTTTTCATCAAGCAGACGTTTCGAGCGGGAGAGCTGTCGATACCGATTCAGGCACGCGTAGCGGAGACAGAGCCCGGTCGACAGTTGCGCTCGAGCAAACGAACGAATGAACACAGAGCCAGTCGGTCGCGGAGACAAGCGGCAGGAGGGGGGCGGTAGCATTCTCGAATAGGATGAGCGGACTCCGGAACGCATGCAAACAAGCTCACTCGCCCATCCCTCGACCTCGCCGTTCTGTCCGGCCAGCGAACAACCCTTTCTGCAGACTCGTACAGACACAAGATCATGAAGGGGTCTTTAACAAAACTTTCACGTCTGACATGATAGTCGGAGCAATTACTTCAGTCGTTGTCGGGAACTCCAGGCTATTCTCCGGCGAGGATCCTAGACGTCGGGAAATCCATCGCTGATGTTCCCGGTCCGCATAGACGGGAAGACCGCTCGTGACCGAGTCCGTGGATATCAACCAGAACCGGAGAGATCACCTTCGAGCCACGAGGGGATCGTCCCTTCAGATTCGAGGAGCAGTGGATGAAGTAGGAAGCTCGAAGCAGCTGACGGGGCTTTCTGAGCGAGGACTGTGTAGTCTCTAAAAAATCACATTTGGAATGCCGAGCTCGAATGAATCTTGGATACGCCTACTCGAGCCTAACGGTGCCTAAGACTTGTGTCGTGAGAGATACAGTATTTTCCGGGAAAATATTCCGAATTTCCCGTGATCGCATCAGTGTTCTGTATGGATCACAGCATCTGCTGGCGGATGAGAAGGATCCGCCAATCGACCTGCGACTTCGCTCTGCACGAACGGCTTTTGAGAAACTTGAGAAACGTGCTCATCGTCAACTGACGAAAGATTGGAAATGTTTCCCACTGTCTAACCCTCTCCAAGTGATATCGGAGACATGGTCATCCGACAAGAGCTCTGCATTTTCTGACCACGGCATGACATTGCTTCAATTGTGAGAATCCTTCAATTATCATTATACCGGTCGAGGGGGGAGACAAAACGTGCGCTTAACGGCGAGCGCGAACTCTCGTGGATGATTAATGATTAGAATATTCAAATCGACGATTCCTGTGATGGTGAGAGTTGGGGAGTGAGCGCAACGATCAGATGTGCGCCCGACGCATCCCCTATGCGGGAAGCTCCTCCCTCTTTGCTATGTTGTCATCGAAGTCCTCACATGCCCAGCGGACGCAACTCAATCTCCAGTATTAGCGAATCGGCTCGGGAGAAGGGCTGGAATTGGCCTATCTGGTTGCAAGCCACTCTCCTAGATGTCTGTCCTCCAGAGAATCACTCAAACTGGCCGAGCTGCTCCAGTGGGGACCAGGAGACTAAATACCGCGGAATTTCCTTCCTTCATCCTTCGAAACCGTTGTCATAGCCTCGATAGCTCGAGAGCCATAAAAGTTCAACTTCACATTATTGTGCGAAGCGGGCTTGTTCCTGAGTGTTCCCGCAGCGAATCCTCGTCGGCGTGGTCGGCAATGTACGATGCAAGCTTCTTACGAGGTCGAGGCGGAATAGAGGAGCGGAAAACTGTATTCGTTCCTTGCCTCGTTGTGCTCTCCCTAGGGTAAAGTCTTCGGTGTTTCTCGCGAGCGTGAAAGCTCGCGCGTGATGGTCGAGCAGCTGACGTCGGAATCGTTCGATCTACGTATCACTCGCGGCGTCGATCGTCGCGTCACTCGTCTCTGTGGATGCTCGCTCGATGAGCCACCAGCGGAGGGAAGCACCACGAGCAATGGAATGAGCCCCCCCCCTTCGTGGCCCCTCATGCGCGCGGAGATATTCGCAATATCCGCTCGAGCATGCCATTCCTCAGCTCGAGCCTGTCGCTTTGGCTACCACTACTACTACTAGCAACAATCTTTGCGACCTCGAAGCGAAGGCGTGGACGCAGATGCCAGGGCAGATGTCGTTTGGGGAAAGGGGAGGGGGGCAGCATAATCGTCAGCTGTTGAGATTAGAATGCCGTCGCTCATACCGCCTTGACCCGGGATTGTGGATCAGCGTGGGCCGCGTCAAGACACGTCTACTCAGTTCCATCGTCGGCATATTCTTCTTTATTGCGCATAGCTCTGCGCTGTCTTGCTGCTGCTGTTGGTCCTCCCGTGGACGGAGCCGACAAAGTGTTGCATTTCTCACGGGACTCCCCGTCTCTCTGCACCAGCCTCCAACGAATTTTTATCGCTGCCGGGCGTAGCTCCGCTCGAGATATTTTCTGAAAAATGATTCCTCAGCCGCTCGACCTCTCCACGGAGGAGGCGTATCTCGAATCTATTTTGGCCGGAGCTCGATTCCATGAGCAAATGTTTATAGCCACTTGTTCCCCGGAGGCTCGTCGGTTTTGCTCACAAATAGTAAGCATTTTTCTCCTTGCAGTTATGATTCGTCTCAGAACAAACTCAACTCGACCATCAAGGACCTCGACGCCCTTGATGAACTCCTAAAGAACTACGACAGGCGAGCCTTACCCACCAGTCATCTTGGTGAGTGAATTTTTTTGTCCCTCATGCCCTAGAAGGACAACGTCGCAATGCCCCCGAATCTTGTTCTTGGACGGCCGACTCGCTTGAGGAGCGGGGAACTTTCCGCTGCCTTCGGTGCCGCTGAATTTGCATCGTCGTGCGGTCGGGCCGTGCGCGGACCTTTGTCGGGGTACTGCGAGACTTCAAGCACGCAGGAGGACGAATCATGATGGGGAGTTAGGAACCCTTCATTTGTGCGAACTCTGTCCTATCCAACTGGGACGGCCCCGCCTTATCCATCCTTGAGTCAGATACGCCTTCTAGATAGATGTATTCGTCCTATACAGTCGAAATCGACCCGACTCGATTATATTCCTCTGACATATGATAATCCAGAGCATGTAGCCCTCGATTCGGACTCTGCGCAACGCTCACTCGGGCCATTCCTCCGAGACAATTACCGTCGTTTCAGCTCTTGCAAAATCCGGGAAGACAGCCGAATACAGGCTCTTGTCACGCTTTGGGTCTTGAAAACACTATTAGGCCTGTGGATGGCATCCTCAATAGCATCCGGATTCGAGTCGGCCGAGTGTGTTGACTGAAGTGCAAAGTATGGACCTCTCGCAACCGAAGCCTCTCTGTCGCTTGCGACGGCTTTCTCCGTTGTTAGAGGCATCCTAGAGATCCTCGTTCTGGAAAACTCCTCGAGGCTAAACCGTACCCGACATGGATCCGATGAGATCTCGTCCCTCGAAGCAAGAAAACGCATTCTCCCTCCTCTCGGAAACTTCCCGTTTCTAGATTAGTTCTCTACTTCGCATACTCACGGCCGGACCGCTCTCTAGATGAGTGAGACGAGTCTCGGTCGCGGCAAGTCGCCATCGAATCATGGGATAAGAGTTGCGCCGAGACGGCCAAGAATAATATATTTCGTCCACTGAGAGCCGATCACGTAGACAAACGAGAGCATCGGCCATGAACTTTTCGCACGCTCCACTTCCGTGAGCCAGCTGAGCGGGAATGGACGGGCGACCGAGAAGGACGGGATCTTCGCAGGGATTTCTCTTGCCCGCCGTCCTCGAATCGTTCCGCCGGGCGATCGTGGTATGGGGAGCTCAAGCTCCACGCTATTTGTTAAAATCACGTCTCATGTGCGACACATTTCTCAACACTTTCCGCCTTCTTTCCAGGGGAGCCGACCATCGTGACGAGTGAGATCTTCATCCGCAGCTTCGGTTCCATTGATCCTTCGAACATGGTTCGTTCATGAGAGGAAGTTCGCGGATTAATGCCGCTTTCATCTTCGCTCGCTGAATCATTCGCACGTGCCTGCTCTTTTTGGTATAATAGACCCCGCCAAACGATACGAGTCACTCGGCAGAGATCCCTCGACTGCTCCTCTCCGGTGAGCTAGTTCGGGAACTCCTTTCATTCGTCGTCGACGGATCGTCGACTCCCTCTCGAGGACCCCGGCATTTACGAATGGAAAGTCTTGACACTCCCTTTCGGATCGATGGCGATCACAAATCTCCGCGACGGAGGTCGTCATCCAATGACTGCGAGCGAGATCGCTGACCGAGCCAAGCGCGGAGGAATTTATGGAGTAATTCCCGGGAAAATGTCAATTCTCGCAAACGGTCTCAGAGTTCCGGGCGACCTGGGTTCCCGTGCCAGAAAATGATACAGGGAGTAGCTTTCCCCATCTCCAAGGTTGACGCGGTTCTTTTCGCAGGACTACGAGGTTGACTTGTATTTGCGTCAGGGATGGCAGGACGACCGCTTCAAGAAGAATACTTTCTCCCGAGCCCTCGATCTCAATGATCCGAAGCTCGTGCAGCGCATCTGGAAACCGGAGGTGACAGTTGGACACGCGGACGTCCGCGTATAATTTAACATCGGCTCCTCTGGTGGTCGATTCATTTGGCGATAGAAGTTTGTTTCTGCGATAAGTGAAATAATTGAGCCTTCGATTCCTCTAACGCCCTCACAGGTGTTCTTCGCGAACGCAAAGCATGCCGAATTCCAGTTCGTTACTGTCCCAAATGTTCTGGTTCGGATAAAGCCCTCTGGAGAGATTCTCTACATGTTGAGGTACGTTGTATACTGAGCTTCTGCTGAGCAAGTCTCGCCTTAGCTCCCTCCTCATTTTTTTCCGTAATGAACGCGTCCAGGCTGCGCTGTCTTCGCTTCATCCGTAGCACTATTATCTTTCAGAATCTTTACAGGAGCTTTCACGCTTTCATGACGTCCTACGCCTCGCTAATTTCCGGCGTGATACGTACGACATTGTGAGAGAAAGATCGATGTCGCGAATACACTGTGGGCCACGGCCGCTCGAAGTCGAAGCAGATTCAAGTAAACTTCGAGTTTCTGGCCGACATCGAGACGCGATATCTTCGAAACGAAGGGAGGAGTCCTCTGAAATCGAAAGTCAGCATTCCATTGTCCCCGAAGTCTCTGAAATTCCTGTCCGTTGATTCCGAGTCCCTCGATATTCCCCAGCTCCGGCGACTCAACACTGCTGTACAGTTTGAGAGATTTCTCATATCCCACCCGGGGCAGGAAACCCGCCGTCTCATTCCTTGGCATTAGCTCCCGGGGCCAGTGTCCGTATTCATGTACGCACGGTCGTACGCTGCATGCCGAAATTTCCAAGCGAGTAGAAGATTTCCTCCGAGGTTCCGGCGACGCGACCTCAAGAGCCACTCGGGCGATCCGAGGGCGCAATTTACGATTACGGGACGCCCGTATTTCGCTGAGCTCAACTGATTGCCGTCGCCATGGATCCGATCGGAGGATGGAGGATCCGTTCCTGAATCATTCTCGTCAAAGCGAGCCCGGTCTTGGTCACGCCGTATCTTTCCGGGCCGTGGGTCGAAGACCTCGATAGACTCCTATGCGCCCAGAGTTCTGACCGCTAGGATGGCTGGCGATAGCTTCCGAGGATACATAACCTAAATCTTCTGTCTCCTTCGAAGCGGGAGAGCGCATCATGGAGAGAATCTGTATTGGTCTTCCCGAGCGTCATGGATAGAGCTCATGGTTTCGAGCATTTGTCACTTTTTCATTATTTATGAATAACATGCCTGGGGAGCTCAGTAATTTCACGACGATACTTACCCCGAGTGTCAAAATGAATATCTCATGACGGAAATATTCAGCGATTGCTCGAATTAGTCGAAATATCCTCGCTGCCGATGGATCGGGCCTGATTCCGATATCGCTCAACTAGTAGCGAGACTCGACAGTAGAGAGGAGTCAAATCTCAGGTCTCCTTTACAATTTCGGGAACTAGGATCGATCGTATCTCAGACACTCGGAAACATCGGAATCGGGAATGTATGGATGGGAGTTCGTTGTGGAGGGCGCTTAACGCTGACCGCGGGAACGTTTGGGGATGCGAGGCGGGCCGCAGCGACGGGCGAAGTGATACAACTGGAAGGCAGCGCGAGAGGCGAGGTAGATCCCCGCGGGTGGGTCATTTCGGCGAATCATTTCGGCGGGATGCGATGCTCAACCTGAGCACGCTGCCCTGACTCCACGTCGACCTCCGATGCTCTGAGGAGAGTTTCGAGAGTTTCTGGAGACGTTTGCGATCACGGACAGTCGCGCTCCATTAGTAGGGGAAGCGATCACGGACAGTCGTGCTTTATTAGAAGGGGAAAATTAGCAGGGGGATTGACAAATATGTTTCTTTCGATTTTCCTCTAAATTCTTCTCATTCTTTTTCAATGAGGAGAAAGATTAAAAAGTAATTGGAAAAAGAATTTTGATCCATAATTATTATTTTGTGAAAAAATCACAAATGCCTGCTTGAAACCATGGGCTCTAGTCATGGGTATTTCTGTCAGCCTCCGAAACTTTTCTCTCACGCCTTGGTCACGAATTCAGGCCCCAATCACAATAAGGAACCGCGGAGAAAAACGGTACGCCAACTCAGAGTTTCCCGAATAAAATAGTTGGAAAGCATCAACATGAAGCTCTGCTCAGGAGCGATAAATCCTGCAGCTCCAGCTGCCAGAACCAAAGTGCTCTCATGAGTGACTGATGTCTCGTTCACACAATGTTTCGATGCCCTGACTCTAATAAGCCCAAGATAAGCTGCAATTATCTCTGCCGGAGCCGTCAGCTCGAGATCGGTCCCTGGATTTGCGTCCTCATTGTGCGACGTCCGAATCACAAGGGGAAGTGAAAGCGGAACTGCGTCATTCGTCCTGTGCCGTGTCCCGGATTTATTCGACAGAATAATCTCGAGCTCAGGAGGCAGGGGCATGGCAACAGGTGGCATCGAGCTCATTCGCGGTGGATACACCAGGCTCACCTGGTACTTCCCGAGCAGCCAGTGATTTGAAACTTCCAACGTGAGCGATCCTATCTATCATTCATGACGACCATCCTATCATAAACGACCACATCAATCCAAATGGGAATCCTTCTTCGCCGCTAGCAGTACAGAAGACTTCTTCTGTTTGCGACGACGCATTGTGTCCATAGAATTCCCGAGGGCTACTTGCTCTCGTTCCGAATATCTGCTCATAATTGGAACGTCAATATATCACCTATTCACCTAGGTAGGTGGATGGGGAGAAGAGTTCCCCTATTACGAAGTCGCAGGACTTCTAGGAGGAGAAACAGAGAGGCGTATAGCTCTTCGTAGATCCTGTACCGCGAATCCATCTTTTTCGGCCAGAGGATTAGTTTCAATCATGTACTCCTACTCTGACCCAGTGTCTGCTACGCAGGCGGACGAGGATGGAGACTCCCTCCCTGGATGACGGCGGCCTGTCTGGCCCTTGAGCAACGCCCCTCCTCTCATGTAATTGGAAGCGAACACGAGTCGACTACGGCGATAAAAGCCACTCGGCTTTTGCTTTATCAGCGTAAAAACAACGTATGCTTCACGCGAGCATCCGATATAACAGACCAGCGTTCGATAGTTCCCTTGTTCCCCACTTCTGTATGGAGGCGAGCCTATCGATTTTGAGTCTAGAACGATGGCATCTCTGGCCAGAAGAGGCTCGGATGGGGCGCCCCGCGCACTTTCGTCCGATAATGCTGTGACCCATCCCCCGGCTGGCAGAACTGTTCCTGACTCCTTGGCAAGTTGGCGCGCTGCAGACAGCAGGCTCGCCAGCAACGGAAAGGCTGGAACCATTCTACTAGACGAACTCATCATTGACTCTTCAGTAGCTATTTTTAAGAAGTCGTAGAATTCAGGACGACAGAATTGAAAAGCACAGGTAACACCTCAAGCTGCCCGTTTAAGTCCCCGATCTCTTGAAAAGGGCTCCGATCAGGAATTCCTGGCGTCGGCCAAGCTCGCCGAAACTCAATGCCGGACCGCTTGCCGCAGCACAACTCAGAGTCACGGATAGGTTTGCATCCGAGCGATTGAGTGCGAGAGGCTGATTCGATTCCGATAAGGAGAACGCCGAATATCCCGGACTATCGAGCTTTCCCGAGACCAGTCGGCCAGTCCGTCCGTCGCCGATTGTGTGTGTGTCTCCGGAGACATCTCTTTTCATCTCACGATTAGCGGGCTGAGCGGTCGCGTTCTCGGCAGTGGGAGCCTCCGCGGGTCAACACTCTGACCCCAAAACTTTAAATTCTTCGATCATAGGCCCGCGTTTAGGAGTTTCCGCATTCCTCTATTCTGGAGCGAAAACTAGTTCCGGGTGCTATCGACCTCAATAATTATTAAGAACCTTCTGCTCAGTCAGCGAATTCCGATTTATCATCGAATGACGAATCTCCGGTCACACAAGGTCTCTTCGGGTAAATTTTTAAAGCGACCGGGGAAGGGTATCTCTAACGGACATCCCCAGTGTGGGTGTAGGTGAATTCATGACGGTGGTTTATTTGGTCAGATACGACTCCTCAGACGAGAATCGGGGTCGAGCTGGCCGTGATTTCGTATAGGTCCCCAGGTGCGAACGCTACGGCGGGTCGTAGACGAATCGAATTTTATACAAGCCGTGTGAGTAAGTGGGCGTAGCCGGGCACAGACGCTCGGGGAGTCCAGGGGATAATGAGAGCGTTGTCCCGTGACCGAGGCGGAGCAATACTCTCGGACGTTTCGGCCGGAACAACACCGTCACGCTCCGACACTTCGCGGTGATCTGGAAGCCCGAATCGCACAGTCTGAGACGTGAATATTCTTCTTCGTCAGGTTGAAGCTCCGCTTCTCGTGTATGATGGATCTTTATCGTTACCCGATGGACTCTCAAGTGTGCAGCATTGAACTGGCATCATGTGAGTTACCTTCGGAAACCACGATCGATCAAAAACACTCGCTTTTCCGGGGGAGTAAAACTTTCCGTCCCTAAATAATGAAGAAATTCCCTTGCAGTCTCCAAAACAACGGACGAGCTCCAACTCCGATGGGCTCCTGAGAACCCGGTCAAACTGTTCGAGAACATGAAGCTACCGCAGTTCGAGATCGAAAACGTGACCGTATCCCTCTGCAAAGAAAAGTTCCACATCGGTCAGTATGAAATCCTCTCTGCTACGCTCCTGTTGGACGATCCGAGGGAAAAATATCGCGGAGCACAACAAACAATAAGTGAGATTTGGATTTCGTGAGCCGAACGGCTTTCTTGCTCTCCTTGTAGGCGAGTACAGCTGTCTCAAAGCCGAGTTCTACTTGCAACGTTCGCTGGGTTACCACATGGTACAGTCCTATCTCCCCACTATACTCATCGTGGTCATTTCGTGGGTGTCATTCTGGCTGGACGTGGATGCCATTCCTGCTCGAGTAACTCTTGGGGTCACGACACTGCTAACAATTTCATCAAAGGCAAGCTCCGACAAATTCCCGTTTTTGGCAGCCATCGTGTAGGTTGGAAACCTCATGGCGGCTCTTCCTCCTACGATGCCGGTGCAGGATTTTCGTTTCCCTACCCTCATCTGAAGAAGCGTTCCGCTGCCGCGTTCTTTACAGGGCGCAGGCATTCAGTCAAACCTCCCTCCCGTGTCTTATGTGAAGGCGATGGACGTTTGGATGGGTACCTGCACTTCATTTGTGTTTTCGGCTCTTCTCGAATTCACCGTTGTCAATTATTTGTGGCGACACAACTCAGGCCATCATTGCATTGTATTACATCACGTAAGTCGTGCCGATTCTAGGATCATAGCCTTAAATCAGAAAATCCAAACATAGCAAGGCGCCGCACCGCCGCGCTTCATTGCGCCGACGAGATTGTCTCGGAGGACTCGACTCCGGAGCTTGTGTTGTTCGGGGAGAAAACGGGGTCAATCGGTGCCGGGAATCAATTATCTAATCGGCGGGCAGACGCAGCAAATCTGTCTTCGCAGAATGGACGAGGTTTGGTCGCGTACCCCGGCAGAGATAGATCCGCCTCCCTCTACTTTACAGCATGTTTTCGCAATCGGAAATTCCATGGCGAATTCGCTCCAGCTAAAGTCGTTCCTCTCCTCTTTCCAGAACGACAGCAATGGTGGAGCGATGGTGAGTGCGTGTCTAATCGGGTAGCAGATCCCTTCCGACGCAGATGGCGACGAGACGGAGAATGGAGTTCCGCGGGGCAGAACTCGAGCGATCGTTCCCTTCGCGTTTCGTCTGCGCCTCATCAGCGTATCGATCCCGTGCTCGCTTTTGAAATTGAGTTGTTTGTGTCGGTTGCGAGTCCAAGCTTTAGATCCAGCCGCCGGGACTCGTTTTTGTTTTTGGGACCCGTCAGTTTTTCTCTCGGGTTATGTGAGTTCGCGGAGCGCGCTCCGACGCCACGCGCAAGCGTTCGCGGAGAAACGTCTAGTCCGCATCAACGAATGATTCAGTGAAGGGAACACGACTCGGCTCCCGAAAATCTTCCTCGCGATTGGGATAAACTTCATCGGACTCTCTGCTTTCTCTGAGAGCTCTCGAATGTCATTGTTTCCGTGATCGAGAGCCCTGGATGACGGTGTCGTCGAATCCCGAATAGAAATCGAGCTCGCGATTGGATGAGACTCAACGAGTCTTCTTTTTACGTTGCAGCTGGTACAGGCGACAAAAACCGGCGGAGCTGAATCTGTCACGACGAGATCTCGAGATTGGGATACGAAACTCCGCGCGAAGAGAATCGACCGAATGAGTCGCATTGGATTTCCGGCGCTGTTCATCGTTTTCAACATTCTGTATTGGCCGTATTACATGCGGCAGTAGATTCTCCACGAAGTTTAGCCTTTGTAAATTTTTAAAAACGGACGGCTGACACAGCAAGCGATGTCAGATACTGTACACGTTTGTATCGAGCCTCATGGATCCCGTCTAGCACTAGTTCCGAAGGACGCTTTCAGCCCTTCGTCGAGAGCGCAACCCCCTTGTTCAATAAAAGGGGGAGAACTCGGAAAACCACAGGAAATTTCAGGAATCAGCTAATGGCCTCCGATTCGTGGTTGAGAGACTCCGCCTCGTTAAGCCGCTCGCGAGTCAAGCCGCTATGTCGATCGGGAGCGGGGTACTCAAAGCGGATGGGAAACGCGCGACGTTCTGTCCTCCAGCTGGAAGGGCAGGGCTTCACTAATTTTGATACTCAGAGTCACACGCGCTCGGATATCTGCGGCTGGGAGTCCTGGGGCATCCTTCAGAGCGTGGGAGTCCTCCACATTTGTCTACCGTCGTTGGAAATGCCGATAAGCGGCGCTCGGAGTATCCAGGGAGACTCGGAGTAATTGAGCAACGCTCCTCGACTCCTTTCCGATCTTCATTCGATCGGGACCGATCTCTGATCTACATGGGGGAGCGTCTGATCCCTATGTACGCGCGTCGGAACACATACATGAACACATAGAGAGACAAACCTATATTTTTCTGTGTTTCTATGGAAGGAGAACGCAAAGACGGAAACGACATCTTTTGCATTAACAGTCGCTAGCGGTTAGCCGTTGAGTCCGAATGGTATAAGTCCCACGCTATCATCCCCGGGAACAGTGCATGGAGCGTAACGAGAGGAGCAAAGGAGGGAAGCAACGTCGGCGGGAACGACGCCGTATCTTCTGTATCGATCAACTGGTGCGTTCTGTTCCCCGCTCCGCGTCCTTGTCGCCTGTCTGCCTCCCTTAACGGAGAGATTACGAAGAGATCGATGAAGAGAGTTTCCCCGAAGATGGAGATTCGTGGCTGGCTCACCCAAATTATCACCCATCCATGTCCGCACCGATCGCATGTTGCCGAAGATCCACAACGTCATCTTATGGTTCGCCCCGGATGCGAATGGAGAGGTGGTTTTGTCCCCGGGGCTTCGTCATATAAATCATCCCCCAGGCGATTCTTATTGTTGTCCAGTATTTTGTTAGGTTTGAAAAGTTTGAGGGCGCTGTCATACTTAAGAACAATCGATAATCAGGCTCGGAAACATGCTCAAAAATGTTTAAAGACACTAGCAATGAGAGGGGGACCGGCGGACCTCATAGATTGTCCTTTTCATTTCCGAAAGACTACAATCTGGTCAATGTCATGAATTGTGGATCCTCAGGCGACAGCCGTCAGCTACGTCGGATTCAAGATTGGGAGTGTCTTGGACTGTCCTTTTTCATTCCTGTCAGCAATGCCACTCTGAGCGGGCATGCCGCTCCCATTCGTGAGCCACATGTCGCAAAACGACGAAGCTCGGTCGGGAAGAGCGCATTCGGTGAGCTCTTTTCTGAGCTCTACTCAGCTCGGGTTCCTGCGAGGGAAGGGGTGATTCGCGACGTCAGCGAAAGGATTCTACATTCCATCTCTCAGATTTCTTGATCCGTCCTCCAGAACCATTCCTCGACTATGGGCTTGGGACGACGAACTTCGACCTGGAGCTGCAGCCCGGCAATGCAGTAGTTCCGTGAGATGTTCATCTGTCTGGGATCTTGAAGACTAAGTAAGAACAGCCATCAGTAGAGCTACCGGAGCAGGGTGACGGCATCATGGCAGTGTAAATCTTAAAAAATCGACTCGATGCGGCTCAAGTAAAATACATACATGTGTCACTAGTGTCGGGGATGAGGTGATGAGAACCCTGCGGAATCCATTTTGGTCAGAATAATAATGTTGAGAATTGTATAATTGTTCAAGTCGCGCTACAAGAAAGTTATGTAAATACGGTGAGGAATGAACAAATATTATGCGGAAGAAGTAGAAGAGCCGTGTTTTCTTTTTCTCCGTCCATCAGTCCCTCCAATCCGGAAGCCTCGAAATCCCGATACCGACCACTATAAGGGCATCGGCTGAGGGCTTCCTAGGAAGGAGTGAGACACCCGCAAGTGCGGATAGAGAACCAGACAGAATCATCGACGTGGCTATTCAATCAGACGACGGCCTATTCGACGATTGCGTGGTGCAATGAAGGTCCTCTGGCAATTGCCGTACCAATCAGCGAGGGCTGTGTCAACCTCCTGACGTGACAACGCCTTTCATTGAGACAGGTGCATCATACACAGATCCAGCAAATCGAAATCGTTAACCTATTGATTTGACGTTCGTCACAGGAAAGGACGAATAACTCGGGACGAACCCCAGCGCTATTCGCTGCTCGCACCCAAAACGGAGTGGCAACGAAAGGGAGTTCATCCAAGTCCGCTCGGTCCCAAGATTCTTTCACGGAGTCAGACGGCACAGCAGTAACGACCGGGCCTTAGTTCGGCGTACACTCGACACAATGAGATGAGAATGCTCAAGTCACATTGTTTTTCAAGTGCTCGCCGGAGCCTCTCTTCTCCGGAAGCTTGTTTTTGTTTGTGACGGCTTGGGCGAGCGACAAGGACCGTCCTCTCGTTTAGAGCATGGCATGCAGGTATTCGGGCGGGTCACGTCGTAGCGTGACGCCCGTCCAATCGCAGGGAATATCCTCAACGAGGACGTGTTCGGTTCATGTCAATCTCAGAGCAAGGTCAATGACCCTTGTGTACCTTTTGACCCTTTTGTTCTTGGTCGCGCCGAAGCATTTTTCCTGACGCTTGTTGCGAATCCTCATGAGCGGCCCTGGCAGACGCTTCTACGGGCGTTCATGAGTCGCCGAACTCATTGGGAAAGAGTTCGAATCCATATTCGGTAATTATTGACGAGGAACCTCCTGCACTCCAAGAGAACGAGTAACTCCGAATAGAGATTGCGCACGTTTAGCCCCCGGTTATCAGCCCAGGCCCTCGCGTCGAACGATTCCGGCTCCGCCTTCACACTTTTTGTCATTCCGAACGTTGCGGCAGATTCTGCCGGGTGTCTCTGTCGCGTGAGCGAGATGCCTCGAATACCGAAGTGTTCAAATCATGAAGAGTCGGAAGACTGAGCGGGCGAGCGAGCATGGTGCACAAAGGCCTCCTCCGTGAACTTTGTTCTCGTATGCGAGCGGAGGGTTTCGTTGAACACACTCCAATCTGCACTAATTACCGACTACAGAGCGCGTGGAGGAGCAGGTTATGTGCCGAATAGGTTACTGGTCGCGTTCTCAACGCGACCAGATATAAGGGAAGGTAATTCCGGGCTCCGTGTCCTCAAAAACCAGCGAGCGGACACGCTCTACTGCTCTCTCGCGGATGAGCCGAGGACTAAGCGTCGAGCCCGCTAACTCTTCATCGGTGGAAGAGCTCCATGAAAATCGTGCGGAGCAGACGGGGGATCGCGCCGACCGACGATGGCGCACTTACTTCACTGGGTTTAGAGTGTCGAGGAGCTTCGCGCCTGTTTGTGCGATAGAGCGTTGGAGGACAAACCTGTCGCTCCTTCCGGATTCGCAATTCCAATTTCGATCTAATGGGCTTTGTCGTTCTCTGTGCGAGTCAGTCTGTCGAGTAAAACGTTTTTTGAGCACTTAAGGCAAGTGAGGAATGCGCGAGTCCTCTGTGGCAGACCAGGCACGGAATGTCTCACGGAGTCTAGAAAGATACGAACGGTGACATTTCTTTCTTCTCTGAGTCATTCAACCAGTGTTGAGCTCAAGAAGCGGAGTGGAATCGTTTCTTGCGAGAAACCGTCGGTCGCCTTCATCTCGGAGTGTAAACTTCTCTAGATTGAGACGTATTCCGAGGAGAAGTCTGTTCGAGACATTTCACAGACGAGGGAACTCGTGATTTACTTCCTCGAAACGCACAGAACTGGTCTCTGGGCATAAATGCTTCAGTCCACACGATCTATCCGGCGGGGAATTCTGGGAAACATACCAGAGAAAAAGCCTGGAAGTCAGTCTTGTGTGGCAGTCGGAGGGAGCCACGACAGACGTGGATTCTCCCCGGAACGAAAGACGATAGAGATTACACTGAGTTGAACGGTCTGCTCGAATCTTAGCGTTCCCTCGCTCCGCTTCTTGTGCGGCGAGCATCCAGCCTTTCACAACGTAACTTGGGCCACTAGTTTTCTCTCGGGGTCTGCGGTCGACCGAGTTATGATGGTATGCGCTGACTAGACGGCCGCCATAGCTTGGGGGTACAGCATGCGTACTCATCCTCATCGAATAATAATTGTACTCGTCGAGCGGAGGACTAACGTGCATCCTCACGAACTCTGAGCAATGCTACACCAAAATAATTGGTCGCAACCAGTCGCCAGGGCACGCAACCTACCGTCTCACACACGTAATACGTAATCGAGCCAAATCGGAGAGATCGTATTTTGAAACTTGTAATCCTCGTTCAAGACAACGCATACTCATGCGCAATTTCAAGCTCGAAGAATCCGCTCTCTTTCGATGCGCTTCCGTTTGAGCCATAAATTATAATCAATAAGATTGAGTTCATTGTCTCTTCCTAGCTTGGGGACTCCCCTTCGAATTACCGTAAATTACTTCGAATCACATCAAGGGAATCGTCGATTCCCTCCGGGAGTGTTCCGACTCCCTGCGAGCGCTCGAATGAGCTTTGCGTCTGCTATCTCACGAGTCTATAGATTTCCCAGGTGCTCGTTCAAGAGTGTTCTCCGCGACCTCCAGAAGCGAGTTGCAACGAGGGTCGAGTCTCCCAGGTCTGCTTCATTGACTTATGGACCCTACAATACGAAGGAGGGGCTCAAGCGCGCGCATAACCTTTGCCCAGCGTCCGTCTCTCATTCTGGCCCACCTCCGTCATAATCGTTGCTGACGTTATACCGACTTTTCCTTATCGGCGGAGCCGCCGCAAGGTTTCATCGACAGAGGATTGGAACCCTCCGACCGGTCGGCACACGGTTCGAGCGAGAGTGCGAGATCAGGGCTGCCCGAT